ATAAATAGCAGAATTGTGAAAGATTGTATACACATTCGTTAGAACCTAAGCTAAATGATGATATTTTCAAAAAAAAATTTTATTATGTAAAAGTTTGCGGAATTAATAAAAATCGAGGTTCGGATACTTTCTTCCAGGCAGTGTATCTTTTCAATATTTTTTAAATCATCATAGGGAATCCATTCAAGATAATGTTTATTTATATATTTTGTCACTTTAAGTTGTGTACTTTTAATCAACCCATCTAATGTTTTGTTACCACTAGTCCATGTTAATAATTTTGGATCGCATGATTATATCTGTTGCAAGCTGAACAATCCCCAAAAGCTCCTCTTCTTTTATCTGAATATTAATCATACTTTTGGTTTTTCATTGTTCTGTTTTACTTTGTAATAATTCGACTAAATTTTTTAATGTTACCAAATTTGGGAATTTCTGAATGTGCCTGATTTCATTTCATCGACAATCACTTCATTGACACACATTTCGTTGACACGCATTTCGTCGACAGTCACTTCATCGACAGTTCATATGATTATATGTATTGATTATAATTATTAATTGATGATCCGCGAATAAATGAGTGATTCATAGACAGATCGTCAAAAACAAACATTTGTAATAAAAAGATTATCAATTTAACATATTTCAGGTGGCTTTTGGTAAAAGTTCTCCTTGTACTCTAGGCTCGTGAAACTTAGAGAAAGTGTAAGTGTCATGTGTTCCTGCATTACATAAATGCAAAGCTTTTATTTAAAAAACTAAATAATACTACTGGCCGAAACAAAAAAATAATGGTTTTGATCTTTTAATATGTTGTGCTTAAAAATTATTTTCTGAAGATAGTTTCTAAATTTGTACTAGTTAAAATTGCGCGCGACCATAATATCGAGGGTGAAATAATTAATTCTCATAAAATACAATAATTTTCTTTTTTATTTTCTTTTATAATGAATTTTAGATGAATATGTAGAACATGTAGAGCAGATAGAGATATTATGAAATTCAGGGTGCGGCGCTAGCCAATTTGCAGATTTTTGTAAATAATTAACAAATTTGTATGTACATGTTTTACTGGGATGTAGGGCTTCTATTCGTAATACAGTTGACCTTTAATTCGGTTAAAATTTATTCGAATTAAAAAAATTAATTCGCTTTATTCAAATTATTTGTTTTATTTGTTTTATTCATTATCGGAATCTTGGTTTGTTCATTCATTTATTAGATTATTTGGAATCATAGGTTGTTCAATTACTTAAATATTTAAACTATATACAACAAGGTTTAGTAATGATTTTATTATTATAAAAATTGAAATTAAAAATGAAACTAATAAGGAAAGACTGAATCAAGATTCATGTTTCTTTTAATAAATAGCAATCTTTCCAGTGAGCTTGAATTTAAACTGGACCTTAATTATTTGTTT